CTCTTAAGAGGTTGATGGTGGGGTTTTTTTGGTTGGTTTGTTTTTTGGGGGGTGTCTATTCTGAAAGGATGGCAGAGTTTAGCTGATGAGCATTGAAGTTGTTCTGGAAAGGCATGCATGTCTTTCACACAGTGGACACGATACTTAGTAGGTTGAACCATGCAAAATTGCCATTTTTTGATAGTTTTAAGGGGTCAGTTTTATGCAGAGCAACATAAATGGAGCGGTTTTATATGGAGAAACATAAATATACCATTAATAAGTTCCACTTCTGTCAATTAGATGAACTGTTTTGCTCATTTCTCCAAACTGGTATTTTCTTATTAAATATTTTTAGTCTCTTTTTTAAATTTTCCTCCCACAGCTAATATCTAGCCTTTATTTCTATTTTTTATAGTAAATTTGCCTTTAATATCAATACAAGATCTTTCACCTTCCCTTGGCTCTCCACGCTTGTATGTGTTCTGCTCGGACAGGCACTCACACAGTGAGCGCACGGAGTGGGCAGGCTGCCCCTGAGAGTGCCCACCCGGTCAAGGCCCGGAGGGAGGGAGGCACTGCTGTGAGAGCCAGTGTGAGACTCCCCGTTTCCTCAAAAAGGCCCAGCGCTGAGAGTAAGGGAAAACAAGTGGACCCAGCTGTTTCACAGATAGAACCCACTACGTGTTTCAGTGGAGAGAAGGAAAGGTCGTATCTAGACAGGGGTGGCAAGAGAGGCTACGTGAAGGATGACGGAGAGAGCATTTCCTAGAAGGCTTTCCTCTAATCGAAGGTCAGGAGAGGGTATGAAACCCGACATTGCCTTTTGTGGCAGTTACAAGCTAATCTCTCCTGGCTCCGTTTTTCATTATTCCAAGGATGCAAGTATTACTAGTGGTTATTGTTCAAGGGTAGAAGCTTGATAGAAAAAAGGGCTCCAGGCTACTCTCTGTCAAAGCAGAAATGCTTTATTATCTTTTATCTATTACGTATTGGGATTGTACAGCTGTTTTACTCGTAGAAAAGTAAACTTCTAAATTCAGACTTCTAAACTTCAACCTCCAAAATTGTTCAAAAACCACTGAACTAGTTGCATCTAAGTCAAAGCTCTTTTTCAGCTTCAAGGTTCTGTTATCTGAGTAAGCATGGGTAAAATTTGGAAGGCTGCGACAGAGAATACACACCCATTGGATGTAATACAGCAAAGGTTCGATGGCGTCACTCTGAGGCTACAGTGTAGCACTCTGGGTGGAGAAGTTGAGGGCTGAGTCTAGGGTATTTTCTCAGTTTGGGAGGTGGCAGTAAGATTGTCAGGTGGAGGTGGTCTGCAGTTGAAAATGCCATGGTGGAGACCTTGAAAGTTTTGATAAAGATAAAAACTTTCGAATCACTTGCACAGAGGTAGGTAGACTGTGGAGAAAGGTGTTTGCCTCCACTCAGGGAGAATACAGGGAGAACATTAGGACCAGCACATCAAGGAACACGGAACATCTGAATTTGCAAAAGTATGAGGAATGCATGGGGTTGTCTGGTGGGGAGCTGAGGAGTGGGGGCAGCAAACCAGGGATTTCCAGGGGAGTGCAGATCCCCCGAGTCCTCTGGGGACAGAACTGTACTACCCAACCCTGCCTGCTCGGGGGAGGCGCCCGTCCAAGGCCCGCTGTGGAGCCGATGTGGGAGAAGGCTGACGCAGACTCCGCCGGCCGGATCAGTGCTGGGCTGCTTTTGCGACTCCGTGCTGATCCACTCCCTGTGGAAGGCCCCACACTGCCCTGAGCAAGTTATTGCCCGTGGCGCTCTGGTGTGGGCGGGTCTGCCAGCACCCTTGGGAAGCACCACCCTCCCGGCAGGAAGAGCTGCGTGGCGATGTGAGACTGCTGTGGTCAGGGCGTGGATGCGCAGTGGGGGCTGGGAGGGAGGCAGAGACTGAGGTTGCCTTCCAGTGGCTTGATGGTGAGAACAGGGCTGTGGCTAGGGAGTGTGTTTGATTTTTAATGTTTGCTTATAAGAGCAGGAAGATTTCATCGATGTGCATGTATTTATAGTGGAGCCACCTAGTGTAATGGTTGTGACTTGTTTGGGCGCTGTGGGTGCTAGCAGGTCGGGGACATGGCCCTGTCGTCGGGGAGTCCTGTGTGGTATGAGTGCCTTACTGAACGGAACGGGGGAGGGAGCCCCGAGGAGCAAGCAGGACTGAGCGGAAGCCAAGCAGTGGCCTTGAGGAAGGGAGGGTGGGCAGGTGTGGGGGGGTGGGGGCGCTGCGTCCAGGCCATGTTCCGTCTGAGTGCTCAGACAGACCCTCGGCCTGCGTTTGGTCAGGCTTCCCTTGCCCTCCACCCTGCTCAGTCCGGAGAAGCAGTGTGGCCCTTCAGCTTGGGCGTGAGTGGGGGCTTATGATGGGGGCTTGGTTTCCGGTCCCTTCAGCCTGTGGGGGCCAGGGACAGCTGGAGCCCCTCGCAGTCGGCCCCTCGCGGTCGGCCCGGCCGGTTTTTACCCCGTGTTCGGTAGCCCCATCTTGTCTGTGCCGCGGGATACAAGTGGTTAGAGGGTGGTGTCCTAAACCTGTTAGTAAAAAATGTAGTTGTGCTCATCATGTATTAAGGCAGTGCTCATGAGGGGTAAAACAGTCAAATGAACATTGTATCTCTTACAGAAACTTAGAATTTTTTATTTGGGAAGTATTCTTAGATAATTTTACAGGGTCTGGCAGAAATAAGGCCTGCTTGAGTGTGGTTGGTAGGGTAGTAATGTGGGTATAATAACTCATGGTTTTAATTTGAACATTTCATCTAAAATGTCATATGGTATGTTTGAGTGTGATATTAATATTGTTATGTTACAGAATTACATGCTTATGTTTTTGTAATAAAAATGGGGTGTTATTTGTGCCAGGCCCTGTATTTCATTTTGCACATGAAATGAAGTGAGCATTATTTTAAGAGAGCCTTAAATGAAACTAAATAATTTGAGTATAATGTGTGCATGAAATACATAAAAATATTTTGCAGATATTGATGGGAGCTAGATATGAATGTCATCAAGCTTCACACAATTAATTAATGAAGGATTACTGTGACTTACAGAGGCAAATTTATTTTCTTTGAGAATGAGGTGAAATTCATGGTTCCTAAATATAATTGTTCTTTGATGTGAGAAAGGAGAAAGAATATTGTTATGTGAATAGGAAGTATGAGAATTTCCTCTTCAAAAATCTTTTGATCCTAAAACATCCTATGAATTGACTTAAAATGCAACCTACTACTCTGCCATTTTCTCTGTGGTAATAGATGTCAGATACATTTGGTGTCTTAATGGTTTTAGTGGTGCCGTAGGAACACCATCTGTCATCTCTGGCCCTAAGGAGGAAAATCTCCGCAGAACTCAGGTGGCTGCTGCTGCCGCCCCCTCACTGAGGTGTTTCTTGGTGTCTTCCTGCACCAGATGTGAAGTCCGCCTGTGTGGATCCATCCCAGCGGTGGCCTTTCCCTGGTCCTGGGCGCCTCAGCATCAGTAAAGGAGGCCGCTTGGAGTCCACGCATATACTCAGTCAACTATTAATGGCATTTGCAAGTTCTCATTCATTTCTGAATTCCAGGGGGTTCACGCATCTCAGTTAAATCAGCCTGAACAAGACTTGTTTTCCACCCCCTGTTGGTCTACACACTTTGTAGCTCACTGCCCAGCAATGTTGCGATGTTAGCAATTCCCACCTTAGGCCTGGAGGAAACGAAAGCGGGGAGAGGTGGGTTGTGCAGAAAATCACCCTCAATTTGTGAGTCGTTGAGACGCTCTGAAGGAGAGGAGTGGTTTTTTCCTGGGAGAAAGAGCTGTCTCCATCAGTAGGACAGAGGGGTGTTTTCAGCCTCTCTGTGCACACCCTACCGCTCAGGGTCCCTCCGCCTCCTGCCTTCAGAGTGAGAGGCGTGGGGGAGCCCGCTGCCTCTCTGCAGACCCGATCGGGCACTGCTGTCAGACCGTTTCAAAGCCGCCAGTGAGCATGGCTATGCATGCTTTTCTTTTATGAAGTTATATATTCATATTCACAACTCTAATTTTTCCCTTTGTCCTGTGTCTGGACCATTAGAAGAATCTAGGTGATAATCAATTTTTATTACTATTCTTGCTGTAGCAGTTAAATGTCATGGCCTTGGATCTCACAACACCTTGCCCTGTATCTGCATTTCATCCTGTGCTACCATTGATGATAATTTAGTAAGGATGCTACTACACCCCAGAGATTTCCCATATCCCACCATCACTGTGCTCTTGAACTCTGAGTCCCAGGAGCCTGTGTGAGAGGCTGTCTCTGGGGCAGTGATGGTGTCTGGGTCAGGAAACAGATGGCACACTGAGAGTCACACGGGGAGCATCTCACGGAGCAGTGACTCCCGAAGCTGGGCCCAGGGGCACTGTAAGGGCAGCACAGCACCTGAAGAGTAACGGTGGGCGTGCACCACCCTGGCTGGAAGGGAGGAGAGGAAAGAAAGGTTAGCAGGACTCAGAGGGAAAAAGCTTAGAGCGAGGCCATCTTTGCTGAGAGGCACAGCCACCCAGAGGCTGCGCCCCTGGGAGAGTCAGGAATCTCTGCTGCCCCTGAGCCCTCCCACCTGGACCTCAGCAGCCAGGCCTGGAGGACAGGGAGGAGACTGAGGGCAGAGAGCAGGTGTGAGATTCGGAGAGGTGGCGGAGAGGCGCACCAGTTTTATGGAGGGTTTCAAGACCGTGTTTGGTGTCTTGTTTAAGGCATGACCTGGAGAAGGAAAATCCTACAGTTTGATGAGGTTTTCTCAGACTAGAACTAAGGAACTGATCAGCTTGTGGCAGGAGAAAGCAAGAGCTTTAAGAAGCCCATTCTCTCTTCCACCTGCCTCTCCAGGGGAAGAGCAGCTTCTGCAGCATCGTAACTGTCTGAAGTCACATGAGCGATTTGGAAATATTTTAGTGATCAGCCTGTGCTGTTCTCAGAATAACATGTCCGGGCTTGTTGTTATCCATCAAATTTATTAAATAATTTTATTAACTGGTCTACATGTACATTATATTTAACAATTCAACAATAAATACTTTGGGATAAATAATTTACGTACATTTTCAGAGCCCTTAGGGCTTACAAAAAGAATCTTAAAAGATCCATATTTACCATCTGAATACTAGGAACAATAATTACAAAAGGTAGCAAACCATACATCAAAAAATAAATAAAACTTTAAATATTTAAATAAATAGAAAGCCTAATCCATTTGAAATGGGAAGCCCTTAGTTCAGCGTCGAGAAGATGCTCTGGCAGAAGGTAACCCACTTGTTCAGGAACTCCACGAAGGTGACCGTCTCGTCGTCGTACTCGCATGGGGGTCCCACCGTGGGTTCCTATAAAACAATTTTTAAAAAAAATTTTAGGGTAGTTTGCCTTCAATATATTATTCAATAAGCTCATGGGCTTCATTTTCAAGTAGATTAAACATTCACATTTTCTCGAAATGATCACATTGATGTGCCAAAATTACGTTACGATACCAGGTGACAGTAACACACAATCTGAGATTTCCCTTGCTTGGTCATTTTGTCAGTCTCAATGAACACAAGATTTTTTTTCCTTTGAACTAGAAGCGTTTTAAATAAAAACAGATCTAGGCAAATATTTCATTAAATGCTGCATGCAAAATAAAGTTCTTACCCCTCCTTTCCTCTGGGTGCACATCTGTATCTGTGGTTACATGTATGCAGTGCTATACACATTGTGCCTTCTTTTTTTAAACCTCCAGTCTCCTGTTACTGCCCTTGAGTGAATCTCTTCATATTCCCCCAAACCAGATAGAACCAGCCAAGAGTGAGGACAAACTTTTGTTTGGGGGAAGTTTGCATGAAAAGCACCTTCTTAAATACTCACACCCACCCCCACTCCACCTCAGCATCAGTCAGGTACCAACTTTTGAAAACCTAGACGTTAGAAATTTTGTTCTTTGGACTGATTTTTTGGAAATTAACCTTCTCGGCCGATAAGAGCTATTTCAACTTGTCTTCTTTGGGCCAAGCTAAGACTGATTCATAGGAAGACAAAAGAGGATCTTTCAAATTTGAAGTAATTTCTATCCTGGAAACATAAACTGAGTGAGAGAAAATTGTTGTAGTGTGATACTCTTTTTTCACCTATGAGTCTGGCACAAATAATGCCTTTTTTAAATTACAAAATGTGTTATTACAAAATCATAAGCATGTAATTTTGTAACATGACAATATCACACTCAAGCACACCATGTGACATTTTAGGTGAAATGCTCAAAGTAAAACTATAAATTATTATTACACTCTTATTATCCTACCAAGCAACTCAAGCAGGACTTACTTCTGCCAGGCTGTATAATTGAATACTGTGATCTCTTAGAGGGTTACATTTTTAAAAATACCTGGCTTTTGAAATGCAGTCTCTGATTTTCACATAATTTTATCTTAATTTTTGAGTCAAGAATTTAGAGTGAGTTTACCTATGTTCACCAAAAACTTTAGGGCAAACCTTCTGACATAGATGAGAAACAGTCTGTTGATGCCTAGATGATGTTGCTGTCAGCGTATTTTTTAAAAATTAGATGGAAAGAAACAGGCTACTAATAAAATGACTCCTATTTGGAAACAGCATTAACTAACATTTTTAGAACCTTGGTCCTACTGTCATTAAAATTACGCTGTTTGTTCAGGGCAGTTTTTCACTCAGGAATTTTGTATCCTGGCAAATGAGATGGGGGAAAAAAGCCATGAACCTCTCTCATAGCACCTGAGTCCCTTGCAGCGTCCATGCTTCCCAGGCATTAAAGATACTTAAGATTGTGAAAGTATTGTCTCTAAGTAAGGAGTTAACCATCTAGTCCATTGGCCATTTTAATAGCTGCCATTTTTTTTTTGAAAGATCTCTTTGTCCTTCTACCAATGGCAGGGAAGCCCCATTTGAAAGGCCTGTCAGGTAATCAGTGTTGGCTGTTCTGGAAAATGGTCTACAGGAATTTTAAAAATATGTAACACCTGCCTGTTTTCTGTGAACTTCAACCCAAGTGTCTTCTGCTCCCAGTGCAGGGTGGGGCCGTCCCTGTTGCCTCGGTGGGAGGAAGCCCCCTGGCTCTCACCTCACACCTTCACCCTCCCAGCCCCACACTGAGTCGCCCAGCACGGAGCTGGTTCGTGCTCACAGTGGGCCTACAACGTAAGAGCACGTCCCGAGCGCCAACACGCAGCGCCACCGCAGAATGCCCACTCTCACGTCCTTTCCAGGCAAGCAGCGAGCGAGGCCTTACCACTAGTGCGTTCACTGTTACATTGATGTTTTCCACTGATCGCACCATCTCTTCCAAGTGGAAGGTTTTTCTTTGAGTTAAATTTAGCACGTCCTTCAGAGGGTTGAGTTCGTCTGTTAGACACAGCAGATGTTTCAATTCTGTGACCTTGAATAATAAAAATAATGATCAGGTCAGTTTGCCCTGACTAAGGGTGAATCAGAAGGTAGCCTCAAATTTACTCTATTAAAAGAGAGCAGCAGTATATAGTCTTTTCCACTCTCCTCCCTGTGTCAGCATTACTGTCAAGATGAACCAATAGTGTTTACGTTACAAAACGGGGAAAACTAGAGTTCAGCGACCCACCATTAGAATGAACCATTAACAAATGACGAGTCATTAATTTCAGCCTAATTTGGCTTTGGAAAGTCAACATTTCTGCACCCAATTGCAAATCACAGATAGAGGCTAAATTCTTTCCCAGTCTGTACAGAGGTCATTAGGACGGAGGTCATTCGTCAGGAAGCGGAGGTCCAGGCTCAGGCTCTGTGACGCCAGTGTGTCGCGGTGTAAGAGCTGAGACTCACAGAAGGGCTCTGGGAGGCCATCGGACAGTCCCAGCGCTTTACAGACCAGGTGACTGTCACTGTATATAGTAATGACCCTCAGAACAGCTAGTCACATAACTGCATCTCCATCGTTGGCTCTTCTATGAGTACATCAAGATGTGTTTGAAAAATAACGCCAACCAAATAAAACATGGCAATATTTGAAGGACTTTGGATGGGCCCTCTTGAGTTGTGTGCGCACACACACACGATGATACGGTCTCACACTTCTATAGTACATTATCATTTCAAAGCTCTTTCTCCTAAATTTCGTCCCGTTTAAGCCTCACAGCCACCTTCTGAGATAGGCAAAGCAGTGTCATCTCAGTTTTACAAATAGGGAAAGTAAATCTCAGAATTTGTTTTCTCCCCAAGGCCACATGACGAGGGGGAGACAGGATTAAATTTCAGTTTTTTCTTTTATAGCATTACATAGCATCCTTTGAGTTAAACGTTTTTATAGTTTTCCAGAATCTCTTAGAATCATGGAATGGTGGTAAAATGAACAGTTGAATGGAGTTTATCACATTACTTTTGGTTTCAACTAGATCTTGACTTGTCATTTAGAAACTGTTAGATTTCAAAGAATCTACCACCCCCTAAACTGTGCACACATCGCCTGTTATCTTTCTAACAATCTTCAGGGGGAGAGGCAGGACTGCGCCACACATCTGGTATTTGCATCTGCTGGTCTCTCAGCTTCCTACTGCAAGCTCTATGAGTTCAAGGCTTTAGATCTTGGCATGCGTGACTTAGAGGCAGTCCCGCCAGCAAAGCAGAGCCTTTTAAGTTGCTGGAGGTAAGAGATGTGTGCCTCTGGTTAAGCTGGAGTTATTTCTTTTCATCTTTCAAAAGAGTAACCTGAAACATAACCTGAGAGGTAGATCAATGAGGCTGACTCTGGGATCCGGTAAGTCCCCTCCTGTGGGCTGAGCTGCACCCTGGGATGGGCTCTTCCCGTTCTTTGTGGGCAGTCACTGCCCGGCTTTCAGCAGCCCTCGCCGGGTGACCAGGACCCGGCCGGCTGTGCTGCTCTCACTGCCTCAATCCCCAAACAGCCAGATAGAAATTTTACTTTCTCCTCTCCGGGGAGAAGTTTATCTTCACTACTTACTGCTACTTATAACCAGTACTCATGCGGTGTTTGCCATATGCCAGGGGCTATCGGGAGTCCTTTTCATTGACTCGTTAATCCTCACAGAACCATATAAAGTATGTACAGTCATTCACAGATGCAGATAATAGACTGAGTTACAAAGAGTTGGCGACTTGCCCAAGTTCACAAAAGCTAGGACATGGCAGAGTTGAGATTCCCGCTCCACCAGCCTGGCCCTCGGCCTGTGCCATGGACGCGGGCTCTGCTGTCCTCAGGGCAGACCCTTAGGCGCACCCCCCCCCCCACCTAAAACAAGGGATTTCTCCCAAGTGGGCTCTTCTGACACTGGCTCTCATCATCCACATGGTAAAAGTGCATCATAGAATATCTCTGGAGTTCTCTGTCTTTTCAGAGAAAGCAGTAAATCAACATAATATGTTTTAAAGCTGTCCCAGCAATAAGTGAGAATAGCATTCTTGTCTCTTCTTCCCACTTCCTTCCTCCCAAACACAAGCCAAGTATACATAAAAAATATACAGGGAAAGCCATTTTACAGAAGCCCCATTATCAAACTTGGGTTTTTTAAAAATTGAAGTTACTAATTCTTTTTCTCAGTTGAAATGCGATTAATGCAATCAGTGTGTGAGTTTGCAGGCTACTTCGAATCTTCATAAAGCCCAAAAACGAACTTAAGAGAGTCGTACTTACCTTCCTGGGTATGTAAAACTTAAACGTGAGCATCGTGGAGTGTTCATGGTTCTTGTAATTCTGAGAAAGCACAACAGATTGTTAGCACGGAGTGCACTCCAGGCAGAAAAGTGAAATGGTGTCTTTTTAGTAGGAGAGGGGGGAGACTTACGTGGACCCCTTTCAGAAGCTTCTGCAAGTCCTCCTCGATGTCCGCCAGCTTCTGCCCGGCACCCCTGCGGGAGCCGGAGGTGGGCGCACCGTCTACGATGAATGCGAGAGTTAGTGCAACGCAGGCTAAGAAGTGCATCTTGTACATTGTGGCAGGCACTGAGCTTGCTGTGAGTAGTGATTAGAGAGGCTGACAGCTCTTGAACAAGAGAGGATATTTATACTGTTATTTCTGGAAAAATAACATGGGGGTGTCAAAATATTTTACATATTACACATATTTTCAAAGATGCTACCTGTGTGGCAAAAAGCATTACCTTTATTTTTCCTCTTCTGATGACTCTTTGGAATTTCTTTAAACCCCCATAGTTGACTGGATGGATGTAGGTGAAATCCCTCCGGTTACTTGAGCCCACACTTCTGCGGCGGTTCCAAAGCACACGCCTCGCGCCTCCTGTATGAACCAGTTTTTCCTCCTCTTTCTCTAAGGGGGCGGGGAGACAAAAGTGGCTCATGAACATTTTCTTCTCTGCACTGAACATGTGGCTCACCCCATTGTGGTGGACAAAAGCCAGAGTAAATAGTTAAAACAAAATAAATTTTTAGATTTGTTGATTAGACAGGAAGAATACTGGTTTCCTGTTTCAGGATGGTTTTACCTTTTTATCTACACAATGCCTCAGCTAATGCATGCAGCACAGTAGACCACTTCTTGCATAATCAGCTAGAGAAATATTAAGACCAGGACCCATGTCATGCTCATTGATCTTGAGATGTTTTATGTTGTTTTAATTTGAACGTTTCTTGTATCTGTTTTGATCTCTTTCTGTCTGTGGAACTTTTTAAAAACATGTAGTGTTCAACAAACAAATACTCAGAAGATGTATTGCATCCAAGGGTACTGATGTTAGGGGAGTGTGTGTATGAGAGAGAAAGACTTTTATTTTTGCTCCTTTATTATTGTTGCTGGGCATCAAGGGGATATAACAAGAATTGGAATGTCCTGGCTGGTATAGCTCAGTGGATTGAGCTTGGGCTGGAAACCAAAGTGTCGCGGGTTCGATTCCCAGTCAGGGTACATGCCTGGGCTGCAGGCTATGACCCCCAGCAACCACACATTGATGTTTCTCTCTCTCTATCTCCCTCCCTTTTCTCTCTAAAAATAAATAAATAAAATCTTAAAAAAAAAGAATTGGAATGTTATAAGACCCAAGGATGCCCTACTTCCTCTTGGTTTCCAAGGGATCACCTGAGCTATTAGATCCCTCCCCATGTCCATTTCATTCCCCACCCCTACTCTCTTACTCACACACATGCTATTTATATTCCTTTCAATATAAGGCAGAAAACAAGCCTAGCAGTAGGGATCCCCAAGTGTATCTGAAGGAAGCTTACTAAGTGGGGTTTCTGGACACCATTTGCACATCCTTTAGGAGAAAGATAACATCGTGTGGCCCGCATGCAGTGTACCGGTAGTGGCCCCCTACTGTGTCTGGCATGGGTAGCCAGGAGGAGGTGGGGCCAGGAGGCACGTGTGTGCTCGGGGGGGGAGAGCAGACCCCAGGGCGGGGGTAGCTGTGCTCCTTTACCCCAGGATGACTCTTCCAACGCAGCAGGCAGAACTTAGTGACAGCAGTTGTTAGGGGCACATCCATGACCGTTCCTGGACCACCTTCACGAGAAAATGAGTAAGCTCCAAGCAACTGTAACAAACAAAGGCAGAAGAGAGTTTGCATTCAAGGGTGCTGATGTTAGTTTTGTAATAAACAGACTTTACATGGGTCACATTATAAACCGATCCATATGTTTCTAGTTTTTATATTGTCACCTCTTCAATAGATTTGCACTTATCTTCTGAAGCTCCTGGGGCTCCATGGGTGTAGCAGTACTGGTCATGGAAGAAGATCGGTATTTTTTCGTCAGTAGACCGAGGAGGACACTTAGGGCGTGTGCTCCTTTGTCAACAGTGTGATGTGCTGGCTGGCTGGCGGTCTAGGTGGACGTTTCTGATTTCAGTAGGGCACAGTCAAGGTCCAGCTCTGTCCTTTTTCAAGGAGATTGTGTGTAATTCCTCCACTCCTACTGCCACGCTCACTTCTTGTCTAGTCTCCACACAGGCGTGTGTCTAGCACCTCCAGTGCCCTCGGAACGGCACGAGAAAGCCCAGCGTGCTGGGGCCCGGCCTGGTCACAGCCTTACGGCGAACCTGGTGGGCGAGGCTTTCCATTGTGCAGATTAGAAAACTGAAGCCCGGAGAAGTGCGGTCATTTCTCCTGGGTCATTCAGCCCTTACTGCAGGAAGGGGCAGAACAAGGGTTTGAAAGCAGAAAGCTCTGACTCTGCGGCCACTTGTAATGTCTCTAAAAGAACCTGTGGTGTCACAGGGCAGACGTGCACAGAGACGTGTGTAGACCTGGGTGACGGGCCGGCAATGCTGCCAGAGAGATGGAGAGAGAGTTTTGAAGAAGGAACAGATTTTAACCTGGGCTTGACAGCGTGGCCAAACTGTGGTCATGTAACTGCAGGGTTAGGAGGGCGGGTGGGCAGGAGAAATGACCGCACTTCTCCGGGCTTCAGTTTTCTAATCTGCACAATGGAAAGCCTCGCCCACCAGGTTCGCCGTAAGGCTGTGACCAGGCCGGGCCCCAGCACGCTGGGCTTTCTCGTGCCGTTCCGAGGGCACTGGAGGTGCTAGACACACGCCTGTGTGGAGACTAGACAAGGGTAGGCACCCGAGGGACACTCACCGAGTATGGTTGCAAAGAACAGAGAAGGGATTTGGTGCTATTTATGCAGTAGGCAATATTCTGAAAAGTAGAAAACAGTACAATTTAAAAACAAGCATTGTAGTTCCTCAGGTGGAAAAAAAAAGTGAAGGTAAGCCAGATTAGAGACAGATGGTATTTTCTAGAAGAGGAGACAGGGGCTAGAGACAAATGGTCATGATATTTTCTTTATATTACTAAAAAATGCAAAACACCTCTCTGTGCCTTTCAAATCAAAACCACAAAATTAGCATTCATTCTAAGGGAAAGGCTACTTGGTGATCTTGTTTCACTTCTCTCAAGACTCTGGTGTTTCATCCCGGCATCATCAGCGCAGGCCTCACCCTTCCAGAATGGAAGGACTCGGGCCCACACATTGCTCCGTGTGGGGGCTTTTCCAGCGGGGCCTTTGATGTTCCCCGGGGCTCAGTACTTCTTCTCCAGCTGTTTCCATTAGAGAATGGGTCAGCGTGGCGACATTTGTGGGACCCTGTAGAAACGCTGTTGCGTAGCCGACACCATTATGGAGGCTGGCCTCATTTCTTTCTTGGTATGCTTGGGGAGAAAGCTCCCTTAGGCTGCAGGCGCTTTCACTTTTTACCATGTCTGACACATGAGCTGGCCTCTGTGACTGTCGTGGTGACAGAGGTGGCAGTAGACTGCTCACTACGCCTCGAGTCACCCCCCTGCTTCCTCTCTGAAAATAACAGTTTTCTATTCAGTAAGAAGCTATTTTCGTCGCTCATTAGCGTCATTTGTGACTTAGCCTCTTGGACTCACGAGCGGCCCAAGTTCTGAAAAACAGGAAACCCTGCCCCTGGGGCTCGCCATCCATCCCTCAAAGCTGGCTTCCCAGGGCTCCGCCTGCTGCCACCGGAGTTCCTGCTCCCGCCCCAGCTTCGTGAAAGTCTGGTTCGGTCTGGTCTGGAGCGCGACTCCTGCGTTCCGCATCTCTCATCGGGGGCTCGGAGGGCCTCCGGGCTCTGCAAGACACATTCTCTCCCTTGGACATCACGACGTTGTGCGGCAACTCCAGACCTCCCGGAGCTCAGCCAGCAGCTGTGCTTCCCACAGAAAGCAGCGTTTCCTCAGGCGTGGGCCGGTGCCCGGCGCTCGTGTCTGTGACTCCGGGGGTCCTCTGCAGTGTGACACCACGCCTGCGCGTCTGCCCCCGTGTCTCGCTTAAGTCTCGTCCACGTGTGCTTCGGTGTGTGGCCACTTTTAATAGTGTCCATAACCCTTTGGAGTGGGAGAATTATTTCCTCGGTCCTTGCCATTTTGCAAGTGTTTTCATTCTCTCATTAAGTCACATTTTACTGGTGAGAAACTCGATGTTTATAGAGATTGAGTGACTTGACCAACATCACATTCTTAAGTTAGAGGTGACATCACCATGTTTTTGTCGTGTATAATGCGTACTTTTCCCCCCAAATTTTTGAGGGGGAAATAAATGTGCACATTATACGTGAGTATAATGATTACATGCCATGGGTATAATAACTCCATGTAAAGTGTGCACAAAAATGTGAGTGCGCATTGTACATGGCGAAATACGGTGGAGCAGAGACCCAAGCCTTCCTGGTTCCCAGTGATCACGCATTTTCCGTGTGAGATAGTGATGCCCAGTGCTGGGCCCACGAGGCCCCGCGGAGGAGGCTGGGTCAGAGCGTGCCTTCCAGTCGCTCGCCCTTCGCTCTCTCGCGGCATCAGCTCCCTTCACCTGAGCAGCCCCTGGGAACAACTTGACCACTTCCAGGAACTCAGAGCAGCTGGGTCTACACAGTAGCTACAGAAGTGGGGTTCTGCTCATGTTCTGAGTCTCCTTCAGGGCGGGGGTCTTCTAAAAGCACTCGGGCACTCGATGTTTTCCGAGCACTTCTCCTGTGTCTAAAGTAAGGACCTGCAGAGGCCACTGTGGGTCAAAGCCAGAGGGGATGGCTGGGCTGTGCCAGGCTGGCGACCTCACCAGTGCCGATCAGGTGAGTTCTGATTGGAGGCTTCCATTCCCGGGAGAGCCGAAACTGCAGTTAACTCGTGGTTTGGTGATGTGGTGCTGAGCATTGGTGCCTCTATTTTGGGCCTATTGTCTTTTAATACTAGATATATATTTTAAAGAATATATCCTTGTCCTGGCTGGCATGGCTTAGTGGATTGAGCACCAGCCTGTGAACCCAAAGGTCACCAGTTTGATTCCCAGTCAGGGCACATGCCTGGGTTGCAGGCTGGGTCCCCATTCATGGGCGGGCATGTGAGAGGCAACTGATTGATGTGTCTCTCACAAATCAATATTTCCCTTTCTTTCTCCCTCCCTTCCACTCTCTCTAAAAAGAAAGAAAGAAAGAATATAGCCTTATTTCTGACTTAAAAATTATAACTACTATAT